CATCCATAAAGGAAAATTAAAAATAAAGCTGCCATTTGAATAATTTGAATATGCATACACTTTATCTCAAACTTCTTTGAGATTTCCAGAGTATTTTAGTACCATTTAGAGATTCAGTTTTGAGAGGCTTGACATCACAACTTAGAGATTCACAAAAATGTGAATCTGGCAGAGTGATACAAGAAGATATAAGTGCTTGTCCTGAAATCCACCACAGGTAGGTACTGTAACCTCTGAAGGACCTAAGAACAATTTTGAATGTTTGATATATTTTGATATTCAACTTTCAATCAGATGTTAATGTTTTAATCTATCAAAACAAGTAACACGTATATGCCATAGCCTTATTCGTATATACAGTCCTGAGACTGGTTCATATCTTTTTCATCAAAGTTTAAAAGATCAGCTTCAAATCTGCTAGACTCAAAGTAATTTTGTATTGAATCTTTAGATAAATTAACCAGTAGCATTAGAAAACCCTGTTACTCAAGCTGTGATAATGATATGGGTAATGAAATCAATATTTTAGGCCACACATTTTCATCTACAGAAGAGCCCTGCAACCATTTCCAGTGGAGTACAGCAGAAGGGAGTGAATGAGCACTCCTGGGGAGGAATGGAGGAATAATCTGAAGTAGTCCAAAATTATTTTATATTTTTTAAAAGATTTATTTATTTATGCATACAAGAAGTGGGGCTCAGGCCAGAGGTGCCGGGGTGAGAAGGTTCACCAGTGACAGAGTGGGGAGCAGAATAGGCAGACTGACTGAAATACACTGCTGTGGGGAGCAGAGGGCGAGACAGGAGAGATCTGCTGCTGTGCCATGTAGGTTGCTTTCTGGCCAGCAGGTGATCAAACACTTGCAGAGGCTGCAGAAAGCTTCAAAGTGTTGTGCCTGACCCCTTGTGACACCAGGGAAGCCCAGTCCAAAATTATTTAAAAACTTACATCTTATTTTTAAGCAATGCAAAAATTTATGACTTCTACTCTATAATAAGGCCATCTGTATTATAATGAAAATAAAACTTTGAAATATTTTTCTCTAAAATTTTTAGGATTATTGGTTAAGTAGGAAGATGGTCCTTGTGTGTACTACAGTGTCTTATAGACAAATGTTGCCATAAGTCCCTGTACCCCTGAGGTTATGCATGTCCCAGTTTCAGAGGCACTGTACTTGCCCAGAGGTCAAAAGATAAAAGGGATTAGGGAGGCTACTTTGTCTAGTCTCTGGCCTTCAAAGATAACCACATTTAAATGACTCTACACATATAAGGACACAGATTGTTCTGTAAGCTCTGAAGAGAAAGAAATTTCACAAACTAACTTGGAAGTTCATCATATTCTAATATCAGGAAGTTTTATTTTGAATATAGAAAAAATGAATTTCCAACTCTACATGTGTTGGGAGACTATAAAATAAATGCAGACAATTTAAACAACCATCTGCACTCGGGGTTATCAGTCATTCTACATAATGGCAACAATCTTATTAGAATAACTTAGAACATACATACTGTTACAGTGAAATTAAAACATCAGTTTAATTTCTGTTGTATTTGAAGCTTAATATATAGACTTAAATAGTCTTCTTTTGAGCTGCCAGGTCGGAATGAAGATTGTTATTTAACAAAGTGTAAGCAAAATTTTAAGCAAAACTAAACATATGCTATGTTAATAGGTTAAATAAGCAGAAAGGTAAAGACAAATGTATTTGTCTCATGGGAATAAATAGAGAAAATCTGCTCTGTGATTGCAAAAAAAAAAAAAAATAGAGTGCAGTTCTATGCTGCAAGGTTGTGTCTGTATTTCTTCAGTATGTGGTATTTAAGAGGTGCTCAACAAATATTTGATAAATGAACGAATGATTCCTATTCAATTCTGTAGAGGAATTAAATCAAGACCAAAGCAAGAAACAAGATTGTTTGGTGGCTATAGTCATATATGTTTAAAAGAAAATCTTATAGTGACAATGTACAGACTCAAAGGAAGTAAAAGATGATAATAGACATATAAATCATTTTAAAGTGTTCCGTTTCAGTATGAGTGACTTCACTAATGAATGGAAGGAAATATTTACACATCATACAGTTGACAGGGGGCTAATATCCAGGATCTATAAGGAAGTCATACAATGCAACAACAACAAAAATCAAAATTCATGCAGAAGACACTACTGCAAAAAACACATACAGATGGCCAATAAGCACATCATCATTTATCAACAGGTAAATGCAAATCAAAGCCACAATGAGATACCATTTCACTTCTGTGAGAATGAGCCATATCAACAATTCCAGAAACCACAGTGTTGGACAAGATATGGAGAAAAAGGAAACCTCACACAATGTTGGTGGGGATGTAGAGCAATCCAACGTCTATGGAAAATAGTACTGAGGTTTCTCAAAATATTAATAGTAGATATACCATATGATCCAGCAATTCCACTCTTAGAAATCTACCTAAAAAATGCAAGAGCAAAAACCTATTAGAAAGGATACAAGCACTCCTATGTCCACTGTAACACTATTTATAATAACCAACTTATGGAAGCAATTCTAAGTGTCTGAAGATAGATGAGTGGGTTAGAAAGATGAAAGAATGGAATATTTTATTCAGCTATAAAAACAAACATGAACTCTTGCTATTTGCAACATCATAGATGGAACTACAGGGGGTAACACTTAGTGATATAAGTGAGATGAAAGACAAATATCAGATGGCTTCACTTACATGTGAAACATAGAGAAACAAAATAAAGCTTCAGAAAGGGCTATACCTAGCACTAACCTATAGCCTGATTGTGGAACTGAGGCTTTCAGAGGGAAGAAAGGTGAAAATCAAGGAAGGGAGAGTGCCCATTGGACTACTGTGGAGGATGATGGGTGATAGTTGTAGTGAGGGAACATACATTTGAAGAGATCAGATTATATATTTCTGAATCATACACTGTGTTGGAAACCTATGTTACCTTAATAGAAAAAAAATTAATTAGAAACAAATCAAAATGGATGACAAACACAAGACTTTACCTCTGCCTCCCCCCTCACCAATAAATAGTATTATAGAGAAAGATCAAGCAATTACAAAATTATAGTAAATTCACAGGGTCTCCACCAGAAAACTAAAGAACTTCTGAATATACCAAATAATTATTTTACAAAGATGGGGAGACAAGAAAATTTAAAAGGCATGAATAACCATTAACACAATACAGGAAAAATCAAGACATGCGCTAAAGAAGTATTCCCGTGACAATTACAGAATAATCCAGTCTAAGGAGGACTATAGAGGGGCAATAGGTAGTAAAAGTTAATCATGGGGCTACTGAGCAGCCACATGCCAATGATCACCAAAATAATGAAGCAAGAACTCAAGAAAGTTTTAATTCAAAATACAGACAATAATTTAAAAATGAGAACATATTTCTGTATTATATCTGATACCATCACAAATAAATGAAATAAAGAGGGGTTAACTTAGAATTTTCAAAGCACAACTACCAAAATTCAAATTCCAATATAATAACAAATAGCACACAAAAAAGGTAATATTTATTGATAAGACAAGATTGCATATATACAGAGATGCAGCATAGATTATTATGTCTTATTGTTTGTAAAGCAATTAAAATTAAACCACATCTTCATTTAAATTAGAGTTCTCTCAATAAATATAAATCTGTTTCTAATTTTTAAAAACTGGAATTTGTAGACATTGACTAATTACTTGTCTTACTAACATCTTCATTTAAATGGGCAAATGTATGCTTTTCCACTATCATTAAAAAAGTAACAATTGCATGTCAATAGCTTTCATCTCATGATTTCCTATATTAGTTTCACAAATATTTTGAAAGGTAGAAATTACTATGCCCACTTTATAACTGCAACTAGGGGGCTACATAAATTGGTGAGATCACAGAGCAAGTAAGCCGACTTTAGGATTTGAATTCAAAATTTATCCACTACTTCAGCAGTTTCTCATATTTTTCAAGTAGGAATGCAAAATTATCGCTAAAATTTCCACAGAGCTTTAATTTAAGCCTTACTAATAAAATTCAAGAGTAAAAATTTCCAAGGAGGCAAAATATATGATCAGATTATTTTCATAATACTTGGTTATATTTAAAATATAAAGCTGAGGGCCTCCCTGGTGGTTAAGGGGTTAAGAAGCAACCTATGAAGCTGTCCACAGCCACTGCAGCATGAGTTCGATCCCCGGCCAGGGAGCAACCCACATGGCGCAGCAGACCGCTCCTGACTTGCCCGCTGCTCCCCTCAGCAGTGTACTTCAGTCAATCTGCCAGTTCTGTTCCCTGCTCTGTCTCTGGTGAATTCTCTCACCCTCCACACCTCTGGCCTGTACCCAAGCTCTTGTATGCATAAATAAAATAAAATAAAATAAAATAAAATAAAATAAAATAAAATATAAAGCTGAGAAGTACAGCTAGTGTTCTGACACAATGTACACAAATATATTTTTGTTCTGTTTATTTTAAAATATCTGAAGTAATAGGTATTAATGTTGCTATTACTTTAAAATCTTATATCTAATTGATTAATCTTCTCAATCAGATAGTACCGGTTTTCAAATCACAAATGAGTAAAATACAGGTCCCAGTGTACTGTCTACTGTTAAATCTACATTTTTAACAGCTTACATTTGAACAACGCTTTAGAGAGCAGAGTAGCATCTCCAAAAATGTATTACACAGAATATCTTCCCTAAAAAGTGCTGGCTTGGAGCCAGGTAAATTTAGAAAACGGTGACACATACATCTTTTTGTAGAGTCACAAAACATATTTAAAAGACTCTGAAGTCATTTTTAAAGCCTTTTTAAAGATTGAGAATTCTTTTACTGAACAAACCTTATTTCCTGGTTTAACTAAACATTTCTCAAATGGATGCAACCATGTGTAATGGCAGGAGGACACAGAGCAGGATCTCTATGACCTGAGTGGATGGGGTAAAGGAGGAGTCCTGGAGCCCTTCGTGGCTTTTGCAGGGTTTATTAGGATTTTACCCGGTACACCGCAGATGGGGGTGGGCAGGAGGGTGGGAGGCTGGCTGGCCTAATCCCAATCCCCTGGCAAGTCTTCACTTTTTTTGGGTTCTTTGGAGTTCTCTCATGGCCTTGCTTCTCTGCTGTTCCGTTCTTTTGTTCTCTTTGGCTCTGCTGTTCTGGTCTGCTTCCCATGGTTCTTTTTGCTCTCTGCTTCTCTTTCGCTCTCTTTTTCGCTCTCATTCTCTTTGCTTCTGCTGGCGTCCTGTGACGCCGCCCTTATAAGTCCAGTCTTAGCCCAGGTGAATCCCATCTACATATGCCCACACCCTACTCCAGGTGCCCGCCATCAGGCATGCATTGACGACCACAGATCTATCATCAACCCTAATGGCAGGAGGGCAGAAAAGCCGATTATCATTTACTTACCCTACACCATGGAACCTTGTTTTTTTCTGGTATCATCTATTAACATCCGTCAAAAGCAGTGTTCAAAATTAATTTTGTTTAGTCCTCAAATAAATCTCCTAGAAGGGATGACTTCATCCCTTCCTTTTTGAAATCTATCAAGATCACAAGACTAGTAAGTAGCAGAGGGAGAATTTGCATTCAGATCTTCAGACTAAGCCCAGATTTTTTCTCTTTCCACTTGGCTACAGTCCTTTTTTATCCCCATCAGTACCTTCATGCTCCATTTATTTTTAACCCATGTGTCCCAAGCTGAAGGAAATTGCTTGTACTGCCACTTCATGCAGCACTTTAGGATTTTGTTCCAATTTCAAGAGAGAATTCTTGATAACAGAATTGCTGTGTTAAGTATTTGTTTAAAGCTAAAACAGAAAAGCACTCATGAGTAACACAGGCAGTTAAATGGTACCATCTGGAGCAAGAGGCATCTGTTAAGTATTCTTATTTAAGAACCAGTTTACAAATAATAACAGACCCCTGGAATTAAGCAGTTAGCTCCTTTGTCGTCTATAACAGCATTCAAGTGAAATAGTTTGCTTCATTGCTTTTGAATCATCACAAACAGAAATACCAGGATACTTTGGCTCTTTCCTTAGAAATAACAAGAGAAGGATCTCTCAAATCAACAGTACTTAGATAATCTAGTTCCTGTACTTCAGTTTCATAAACAGCGATGAGGAATAAAGTTTCACATATAGAGGAGGAAGAAAGTTAAACTTACTGAGATTAAAGCTCAAGAAAGAAAAAAGGATACATTTTTGAAAGAAAAAAAGTCAAAAGATTCACTTTATAATAAATAGAAATACTGTAAAAATGAGACAAAATTTCTAGTCATTATGTGTTGCAAGTTATCTTTTCACTTTATATTTTGCTTGCCCATATAACATTCATCAAAATTGGATTTTGATAATTTTGTACTGTATATGGCATGTACTCAAGAAAAATTGGCAGACTATAATTAAAAAAGAAGACAGACATAGACAGGCATAGATACAACAAGGAGTATTAGGGCCATTCTTTTACACAAAAAAATACAAAACAATTCTAAGACCATAGAATTCATAGTTCCTTAGGGCAATGTTTTTCCTGTCTTAAATGTCTTTTCCCGTCTACAATGTTTTTCCTGTCTTAAAATGGTATTATTTGTACTGCACACACTGCTCTCTAAGTAAACAAACAGATATGTCTTAAGACCAGAGAATACTGGTAGGGGTGATTTCAATGGAAGGGATTGTACTGGCTACCAGAGGGTTTACAACACCATTCTCAGGACCATGGAGATGAAAATCTTTGCAAGTTCTGCCCCAGAGACTAAACTCTTTCATTTGTCTGCTATCCATTAATTGTGTAGACCTCACTGACAGCAGATTTTTTGTTATGAATGTAACAGAGATATCACCATAAAAGGGGGAGGTGTCATATTCCCCTCCCCATTAAATGAGAGGTAAAACTGAGCATGCAGGTGATCTCAGGGGAACACATAGAGAGAGAGAGAAGGGCACACTTGCTTCTCAGGTTTGGACTTATACCAAAGATTTTTGAGATATGGAAGGAGACATACGGAGGAGAAACTCATAGAAAAACTTGAAAGAGACACATGGGGAGGCTGAGAATGGCAGCTATTATCTTGATTGGTACTTTGATTTTGCTCCTTTCATACCAGACTTGCTTCACCCTTTTCACCCCTTCCTATGATACCTTGCCAAAGGTGCCTTAGACTTGCAGCAAGTTTTGGGGCAGCAGCAGCCCTGTTCTGGGTCAAACCTGTTTGGTTGGGCATTTAGCCATGAAGAGATGGGTAACTTTGGGTGTTTTAATGGGAGACAATTATTTTTTTCTTCTCTCTCTCTATTCACACTAATCCTATTCCTATTAAAGTTCTTTTACACTGAGTTGCTTTGTCTTTGTTTGGCCTCATGAATGACCAGACCCCTCTAAAGGGTGCAAGTTTGGGGATCCTGGAGTACCCCTCAGTCTGCCAGTTAACATGAATTTAAGTTAGCATTGAGCAAGTATATTAATACATGGGCCCCTAGGTTCACTTGTGGAACCCAAGTAACACCTATACTAGTATTTATTTCTACCCCCAAATACCTTTTGTTTCTCTTTAGACAAAAGCAACTTTATAATCCCAAATTAGATTTGAACAAGCATAATAATATTGTCAACTATACTGACATCCTATCCACGCACACAACCTATAAAGAAAAAAATATAAAAATCTTAAAGCCATTAGAAATTGTTTACCAATTTGTTTTACTATCAAACTTTTGCCATGTTTAATGAAATTTCAAGTTCTGAGCCACATCTTTTCCTCTTACACACTTCTCGAAAGACCCATTTGTGTCTCTGAGTTTTAAAGGAGTTGAGGTAATGAGGAGGGGAGCTATTGTGACAATTCTGAGAGTGCAGAGATGCACATGCTCTAGGGCAAGTGAACAAATCACCCAAGAGGATGAATAAACTTAATATAGATAGACATAGTATAGCTAGAGATACAGAGATAGAACCAGAGATGGATTTGAAATATATATATATGTACATATATCTACGTTTGTATTTACATATGTTGAATAATCTATTATTTTGGTTTCCCTGTCGTCATATACTCGTAATCTAAGTTTCTATTGTTTTCATTCTTAATAGCTCATTTATAATACTTAAACATAAAAATATTATGGTGAATAATTACTTAGCTAGTAGTGTATTTTTATTTCAACAATAGCTGTCTGATAACCCTCCCTAAGTGTTTCTTCATTAATGTTTTCTGTGTCTGCATGGGATGGATGTGTGTGCATGTGTTTGAGAGGGTATTAAACCTACCAATTCCCTTCCAACAGACAATGCTTAGAAAGGATAACACAATTTATTTTCTTGAATTATTAAAGTTTCCTTTTCCATCCTTGATTCCATTTTCCTTCTGTTCCCTGATCCACTGGCCCCTTAAAAATTTTTACTCCCTATGAACAAATAGCATAAAATCCTTTTCAATTCCTCCTTCTTTAATTTTCTATTTATTAAAGACATTGGTTAAAAGGTTGATAAGGAGATACAGAAATATCTTAGCTATGCAAATAGCATCTTTTCTAAAGTTCTTCCCTATCACTAGGATTTACAAATCCCAAATATAAATGCAATTATTTTAAAATGAAGGGAAAACATGAGGAAAGGCTAACATGTCACTTAGAGTTCAAAATAGAGCTACAAAATAATATATCTAAATAACATTGTTTTGCTTCATTTCCTCTGCTCTTTCAAATCACCTGCCCACCTTAGAGCACTCAGGGAATCGGAAATGTTGATAACTATTTTTGGAGGAAATTCCCTAAAGCTTAGTTTCATCAAATTTCCTCCATGTTTAGGAACTGTGCTTCAATGATTAGGTGCCCTGATGTAGCTTTTCCATGATATTCATCTACTGTGCTTTTCACTTTTTCAGAGAGCTTTCACTTTTTTTCATCTCTAGTTCCACATCTCTTTGGGTAACTGGAGTGACTATACTATATATTGTACTTATCATAGCTTACATGAAACATTCCATTTTGGTAACATTTAAGATGTCCTTTGTATGTTGTGACACACTTGGGCAATTTGGGCAGAGAAAAAGAAACCATTCACTAATATAGTGTATGTGCAAATAGGTACAATAAGTTTTGCATAATGTTACTAGGAATCAAAAAGTTTAACTTACAAGATGAATAATTACTTAATATAGTCTTTAAATATGGGGGGAACTCTCTAAAAATTAAAAAGCAAGTTTGGCACCATTTCTTTTTTGCATAAACTTCTAAAAGCTTTAATAATCTTATCTTTCTTCCTCAAGATAATTGTGTTCAAAAGAAATCCTCAAAAATCTAAATAAATTGCTTTTGATAGGCTTAAAAGAGTACATATGCATAACTGTTCATCATAAAATGGGGGAAACAATTATAAACGCATAAATATGATTGAATCATTTACTATACTTGTAAGGATGGTTTTTAATGGTGATATTTCTTGTGATTTGCTTCATGTTCATGTGATTTGCTTCAGTAGAACAATATATCCATTAAATTAGTCAATGTTAGATTATGAGGGTTGATTAATTCTGATTTAACACTTTTAGATCCACCATTAACACAAATTTTATTAACATAATGCAAGTTATGTCATAATCAAAGTCTGAGTCCTTTAGAGAACACAGAACAAGTGGAATGTGCAAATATTAATATATGCATATGCATACACACACATACCTGTTTCCGAAGTCATTAATTCTATGAGTGGGAATCAGTTCATGGCAGAACATTTACTTTCTAAATACCTGGTTTAAAATAAAATTAAAATTTATTTGAAAAGTCTAAATCTTTTCAAATTATATGAAGTAGATATATTCATAGTAATAAGGATCACTTATAAAACACTTATTTTGTGCCAGGCACTGCACTAAGCATGTCACATGTAAAAGTGTATTGAATTACCTCAAAACTGAGTGAGATGTGTTCTATATTTGTTCCACTGCACAAATAAGTAAGACATAAAGTCTGAGGGATGCAAGTCTTTGTCATGATCAAAGATCACACTGAACATTACACTACAAGCACAGACCACACTGAATATTACACTATAAGCACATTTGTTTTACTTTATTATGTTTCTCAGATGTTACAGTTTTTTTTTGTTTTTTTTTTGCTTTTTACAAATTAAGGGTTTGAGGCAACTCTGCATCTAACAAGGCTACCAAGGCCATTTTCCCAACAGCATGTGCTTACCTCATGTCTCTGTGTCACATTTTGGTAATTCTTGCAACATTTCAAAAATTTTCCTTATTTTTATGTCTCATGGTGGTCTGTGATCAGTGACACTGGCTGTTACAACTATAATTGCTTTGGGACACCACAAACTACACATATATAAGCCAGTAAAATTAGTCAATAATTGTCTGTGTTCTGATTATTCCACCAACCAATTGATCTCCGTCTCTCTCCCTCTCCTTATGCCTCCATATTCCCTGAGACACAACAATATTAAAATTAGACCAATTAATAATCTTATAATGACTGCTAAGTGTTCAAATGAAGAGTCAAACATCTCTCAAATCAAGTTAGAAATGATTAAGTTTATTGAGGAAGGCATGTCAAAAATTGAGATAGGCTGAAACTAGACCTCTTATGCCAAAAAGTTAGCTAAGTTAAGAATGCAAACTAAAAATTCTGGAAGGAAATTAAAAGTGTTACTTCAGTGAACACACAAATAATTAGAAAATAAAACGGTCTTATTGCTGATATGGAGAAAATTTGAGTGGTCTGGGTAGAATATCAAACCATTCACAACATTCCCTTAAGCCAACGTCTATTTTAAAGCAAGGCCACAACTGCCTTCAATTGTACAAAAACTGAGAGGGATTCCCTGGTGGTGCAAGGGGTTAAGACACAACCTATGAAGCTGTTTGCAGCCTCTGCAGCACGAGTTCGATCCCCGGTTGGCCAGGGAGCTACCCACATGGCACAGCAGACCTCTCCTGACTTGCCCACTACTCCCCTCAGCAGTGTATTTCAGTCAATCTGCCTGTTCTGTTCCCCACTCTGTCTCTGGTGAATCCTCTCACCCACACCTCTGGCCTGTACCACAGCTCTTGCATGCATAAAAATAAATATATCTTTAAAAAAAATTTTGAAAACTAAGAGAGGTAAGAAAGCTGCAGGAAAAAGTTTGAAGCCAGCAGGGGATGGTTTATGAAGGTTAAGTAAAGAAGCCATCTCTGTAGCATAAAGGTTTAAGATGAAGCAGCAAGTGTAGAAGCTACAAGTGTTCCAAAGGATATAGCAAAGATCACTGATGAGCATGCTATAGTAAACAACAGATTTCCAAAGTAGGCAACAGTCTTCTATTGGAAGAAGATGTCATCCAGGATTTTTATAACTGGAATGGAGACATCAGTGACTAGCTTCAAAGTTTCAAAGACAGGTTGACTCTGTTGGTAGGTGCTGCTGAAACTGGTGACTTGAAGCTAATGTTCATTGACAGTATCTAAGGATTCTTGAGAATGATTCTAAATCTACCCTGCTTGTGCTCTATAAATGAAACAACAAACCATGTGGGACAGTACATCTGCTAACAATATAGCTTACTGAATATTTTAAGTCCACGGTTAAGAATTATTTCTCAGAATTTACTGGTGTAACTGCCAATGTCCCTATGTATTTGGCCTACTCTTTCTCTGCTTCAACTGATGAACTCTCTTTTTGGAATTCCCAATTCTCCCATTGCCAGTTTAAGGACAACTGTCCTGTAAGCATTCATTTGATCTACTGCACTGTTAATTTCTCCTTTATTGCCATCAGCATATAAACATGTATTAATTGAACATGTTTATAAAAAAGAAAAAAAACTCATTTGACCCTGTAGCTGATTCTCTGTTACAACAAAACTTCTTGAATGAGTATATAATACCTCCCATTCTCCCTCACATCACTAATATTATCAAAACTTTTGAAAAACTCCTAATTCACTTGGAAAATAATCCAAATTCTTACCATGACCTACAATATTTTAAAATGCTTGGTTCTACTTACCTTTCTGCACTTCATCCTCCTCCATCCCATCCTTTATGCTCTGCACACATTCACTTTCCCTCACTTCCTTGAAAATCCAAGTTGTCCTCTCCCTCAGAGCCATAACCTACAACTACTTCTGCTTAGGATACTTTAGATCCTAAATGTCAGATGACTGGTTACTTCTCCATCAGGGGATAGCAAATATTGTCTTCATAGAGAGGTTTTCCTGACTTACCCATTTAAGAGGCTTATATTGTATACCTGAGCTGTGTAACCCAAAGTGTAGTGATTTAAAATATCAATGACATGTACCAATAATCATTTATTTATTTCACCATTTCCACAAAAATTCAGAAAGACCTGGCTTGGGATTTTAAAGAATTTTGCAGTTACAGTCAAATTTTAGCTGAAGATACAGTCATGTAAGACTTAGCTAAGGTGGTGACCACTTCACTGTTAGCTCACTCACATGGCTAGCGAGTTGATATGAGCAAGTTGGTTCTATCTTCTCCAAAGAATAACTTGTTTTGTGTTGTCACAACATGGAGGTTGGTTTTTCCCAGACTAAGTAGTCTAAGCAATGATTAAATATGTAAAAGTTAACAGTACAAATGGATGTGAATAATGGAAGGTCACTTTAGATCTTGCTTTGTTTTGTTTATCTGTCTTTTTAGTTACATTTTTTTCATCCTTTCCTCCATTTTGAATAAAGATTACTTGGGAGTTTACTAAGTTAGCAGAGAGGCAGAACAGGGTAGTGCAACTTGACCAATACTTGTTTCAATTCAACATACAAAGGATAGAAGAATAAGGAAAAACTTTTTCCAGAGATCCCCTCAAGGTATGGTTTAGGTCTACTTGGGCAAACTGGCATGTATTTCTAGTATAAGGATCCATACTACAGTAAAAGATTCATTATAATGATCTTCCATGTTACTGACAGTTTGATTCAGCGGTGGCCACACTAAAGTAAATAGTTACAAAAGCAGTTTCTTGGTTCAGCAAATTTTTAATCACAGTAGAGGCAATAGCTCTCTGGGTACTCCATATCTATGGCATTGTTTTGGGGGTTATCATAGCATTCAGTATTGAATCTTTTTTCAGTTCTCCCAATGATTTGAGAGCTACCATTATCTTTTAGCTTTCATTAACTAGAGTTCTGTTGTCTAGAACTAAAAATCCTGACCATTACAAGTTGTATTAGCTGTATCAGCCAAAATAATACCTAGATATTTTCAGATGGGTCTACGTGCCCAAGTATACACTTTTTGCATAATTGCTTATGAGGTAACATCTGTTTCATCTGTGAAAAGCAGCGACTACAGGAACTTTCATCCTCTGAAATCCCCTCTGTTGTGGCTTTGCAATTTCTCTCTTGATTTCTTTTTTGCTCCACTCAATTAAAACTTCCTATGACTGATTCTTATGCCCCAGTTCGCCCAATAACAGGGCAGTTAACAGCAGCAAGGAAGACCATGATGAAGAATAGTGTTTAAACCTCTAATACACTTAGCCCAATTCCCAAGTTCAAGATCACTATTCTTACCAGAAAAGAGATGACATCCCCAAACCAGACTTGTTCTACTGTGCCATCCTTTTATTTCTTCACCTCACAGTATTGGTTCTTTGTCTCTGCTATAATAAAATTTCCAGAGAGGGAGCAGTCAAGTTTTATTCTGAGACATAAATTCATCTAACATCAGTACTCAAAAATTATCACTAGCCTTAATACATTCATTAATATATATATATATATATATGACAAAAGAGATTAAAATTAAGGGGTCTCTCGGTTTTCAGGGAGAGGCTTAAGTACAAAGCAAAGTATTAATAGTAAAACAGGAAAACTTTTTATTCAACCTCCACTTGCATATTTACTGTACTTATTAAAGGCTCTAGAAAAATCTCAAAAATCCCAACTGCTTGTGGGTTACAAACCCACCGGCGGAGGATCCCACATGGCGCGCAGACCTCTCCTGCAGCCCGCTGCTCCCCTCAGCAGTGTACTTCAGTCCTTCTGCCTGCTCTGCTCCCCACTCTGGCTCTGGTGAATTCTCTCACCCTCCCGCGCTTCTGACTGTACCCAGTGCATGTATAAACAAAACAAACAAATAAAATAAATAAAATAAAAAAAAAATAAAAAAAAATGAGACTATATGAAAGAGTGACAATGGAATGAGTATATAATATGTTATATAGGAAATGTCATAACCTTCTTATTTTTTCCCAGTGGGCAGCTGTTCTCTGTTTGTTTTTCCCCCACCAAAGAGACCTGAAAATACTGCTCTTATAGCCACAACATGTATAAAGAAAGCAGACAAAGATTTCTGGGGATGAAACGACAGAGAATTGTAGCATCACACAGCTCCAGCCAGCATTTGGGAGAACATAATGGAGAAGAGTAAAACCTCCCATAGAATTCAATTGATAAAGACTCAATACTTAAAGACTGCTTTGATGATGTGAGTAATAAAATATCTGTGTAATGGGGTGCCTGGAATGCCTGGTGAGGCAGGGCTTTAATTTGTTTTACTGAGCAGAGTACCAGCTGCTTCTCTGTTTAGGCAGAGGTAAAAAAGTCATCTTAAGGCCATTCTTCTCTACTTTGTGCAGTTACACATTTATGCAAATGTAAGGCATAAAGTCATTCCTAACTGAACAAATCTTCCTAGATTTAGCAAGGCTGCACCTAACTCTTAGTAATCAGATCCTCAAAAGAGTGTATACCAATTTGCATGAAGAACACTTGGTGAATGAAGAAGGCAAAATCTTAACCACTTTTCCCTGAAATCTGAAATTAGGGAAAACTTTTTAATGGAGAGAGGTATCTCTAATCCATTGAAATTCTCCATTAAGTTCTGCAAGTATCTCAGAGCCCCTAAGGAAAACTGGGTTTGAACTGGGTTGAACTGGGTTGAATTGGGTTTAGTGGAATTCCTTAAGGATGAAAACTACAGTCATCCTGGTTTATGGCTGTAGAAATAGTGACAGAAGTCATAATCATGAAGCTCAAATATAGACCACTAGTATAGCTTTCACAAAGATCTGAACATGATATTAGGTTATGCATAAAGGAGACTTTTAAGTGTGGTATGCTAGAAATTATGTTCAGATTCACAAGGACTTAGTGATTAACTGGAGAAAATTAGAAAAAGTACTCAGGAATAATCTAGTTATATATTATTATATATAATTTATATGTGGGCAACTATATTTACTTTTATTATAACTATTTTAATAAGTTCTATTACTCATCTTAAGAAGTAATTTATGTCTCAGCATCACCTCAAGGGAGATCTTTATATATCTCAACGATTCAGGATGGAACAGCATCAGATTTCTCTCTTTCAATGACAGCATTTTTACATCCTCACTTCCTAAAACTCCTTGGAAGTCTCTTCTCCCTAATTTGTCTCCTCTCTTCCTAAAGTTTATGTTTAAAGAGAAAATGAACCAACAAAGAGCAGTGTGGGAGTGGGAGATGTCTTTTGGGAGGCAGACTACTGCAGCACTTGGTCTTGCCACTTAATCACTTTGTCAAAAACTTGACAAGGCAATGAGTTCAGAACCTGGAACACAAAACCTGGCAATCTTCTTGAGTCTTAGATGGAGGTAAACAAGATGTGTCACATCTTCCAAGCCCACTGGTAAAAATAAAACATAAATTAATTTAATATTTAAAGACTGTCTTGCCACATGATCCTAAGTTTAACAGATCCCACAGTATGTTTATATATAGATGCATTAAGTAATGGCCACTCTTTCACCATTTGCACCAAAAGATCTGGTGTTCAGAGTGAAACCAGTAAGGAGCAATATAACATATTGTTAACTCTGCCTGACTATATCACAAGTTGTGAATACTTTAGGAAAAAAAGAGGAAGAGTTAAATTTTATTAGAAATAGTACAAGTTGAGAAATAGAAGTAGACAGATAAACTTTAGAGCTAGGGGAAGAAAGCATTTAATCCTTCCCCTTGCCAAGCTTCGATCCTACATAGCCTTTGACCTCACTGACACTGATTCCCAGGTGGCAGGCATTGCCATTGCCCTTTGGAAAATGGATTAATAACTGTTCCCACTGCCTAGTCTTTAAGAAGAGGGAAACTCAGTTTTATTGCTACTGGGGTGATGATTTTCTGGTTTGCCAAACTGGATCTCTGAATTCACTTATTTTCTCCCTGAATTCATTTTTGTCCCAAAGGAAACATTGTTTATTGAGGTGATTCAATTCTACTAGACTGTACAGGTATGGAAGCATTATTGGATTAAATAGGCCTTATGGGCTTACCTAGAGGACCCGGGCACCATTTATAATGTCTCTATGGGAGAAATACATCTCAAGCTCTAAACTACCAACTAGATCTACAAAAAGCTCATTAGTATACAAGTAATGTCCTTTCTTTTCTTAGACTTTGCCAGTGAGAGAAGCAAACACACTGGTATGAACTGAATTCTCTTAAATAACTTCTTTTATCAGTCGGAATGCTTTTGTCTAAGTAACAGAAGAGTGCTAAATGTGGCTTAAACAATAAGGACATTTATTATGACATTCAGCAAGAAGTCCAGAGAGAAGCAGATCTAAGAATTGGCTCAGCAGCCTAACAATGCCTTAAAGTACCTAAGCTCTTTCTAACCTTCGGCTTTGCCATGCTGTGAATGTCATCAATCTCGCTCATCCTCAGCCCCTAGGCAGTAGCATCTCTATGCATTAAATCCTCATAACAACATCCAAAGGCCTGAAAGGAAATAAGATTGTGGTGTTTTCTCCTCATGCATATTTCTTTTATCAGGAAGAAATCTTTCCCAGAAGTCTTGCAACAGACTTTCTTTCAGGTCCTATTGGCCAGAACTCAGTCCCATATAAACTCTTAATGAATTCCTGCTGAAAAGGGGAAGAGAGTAGGCCCTATACTCATGTTCACATGCTGGGCTGGGAGTGAGGCTCATCTTCCCGAGTGCAATTGTTCCCAAACTTGAACAAAATTAGCTTGATTAAGAAGGAAGAAGGGACTGGTTGTTGGTAGGTAACCAATAACATACGTCACATTGCAATTTTACTCTTTTATTTCCTCTTGCTTTTGAGGTTTACTCTAGGTTGGTAATATATGGCTGACACTAGGCTGCAGAAATGAGACTTTATGGGAAACAAAGCGTATTAACAAAATGTGTGCTAAATTGCAATGCTATGATTTGTGCTGCAAACTTGTTGTTTTGAAATTATATTGCTGATTAGACAATGTAAATAGAGTGATGTCAGTTTGGATATTAAACGATCCATTGCACTTAAAGAGATAAGGTGTGAAAAGTTCCCTAGTGCTAAACATGCTCACTTTCCCTGACCTAAGTCTAATGAGCCAAAAGATAAGTTGCATATTCAAAAGAATGTTAGTCAATATTCCACTTACTATACATTGAAATTGTGGCAGATTTTCAATGATTACTGACACAGAAAAATCTTAGTCCAGGGACTATTAGCAGTAATTTTCCTAAATTCCTAACATCTAGTCAAATGATACCCTTTTCCAGTAATGCTCCCAAACACCCTATGCAGTGAAGATTACTTCTTATCACAAAGTTATGTAAAATAATTCACAACCTGAAAAGCATAGCTTAAGTTACCTTCTTTGTCATAACAGGATATTACTACCCCCACCATAGGCCCCAAAGAGGTGGGTTCCAATACCCAGTCAACTTCAATGAAGTAGTCTGATATAGGCTGGGATACAGTCCTCCTTAATTATCTGTGACTGAAACAATGGTATGAGGGGAAAAGGTAATTATATGCTGGGACAGATGTTAAACTACACTTACTCTGGTGATTACTGCACAAGCGTATTAATATCAAACCATCATGTTGTATGTCTGATACGAATAAAATGTTACATGCCAATTATACCTCTGTAAAAAGTAAATAATAAAGAAAATAAAGTTATAACACATACACAGAACAGCAAAGTCAATGGCCTACTAAGAATTTTCCTAGGAATACATTGTGATTCACAGAAGAATCCACAACAATATCCCGTTTGGAATATGAGTTTAAGAGAGGATAAATCTGGCCTCCACGGTGGCACAACGGGTTGAGCACAGCGCTGTGAAGCTGTCTGCAGCCTCTGCAGCGCCTGTTCAATTCCTGGCTGGCCAGGGAGATTCCCACATGGCACGGTAGACCTCTCCTGTCACACCCACTGGTCCCCTCAGCAGTGCTTTTGGTCCATCTGCCTGTTCTGCTCCCCACTCTGTCTCTGGTGAATCCTCTCACCCTCCCACACATCCAGCCTGTACCCCAGCTATTGGATAAATAAAAAATAAATCTTAAAAAAAAGAGAGAGAGAGGATAAGTTCTCTGTATCACCTCTCTTCCCTAACTTTGAAATGCCATGGAGTAATGAAAACTGTTTGCCATTATGACTATTTGACTTACCTTTCTCCTTCTAGGTTGAGGGGAAATGAAGACTGAAATTCTCATGATTTTGTGTTAAATTTCAATAGTTCTTTCTTCTCAAATCTTAGTTGTAGTGTGGGGACAAAAGAGATGATCATCTCTTCATGGGGTTTAAATGTGTATCTAAAAGTGAAGAAAACATTTCTTCAAAAGCATTTAACGTATCTTTTCTTTTTGCATAAAAACCAAAGGAAAAGAAGACAATAAAAGACAAGTACACACAAAATACTTAAATGAAAAAAAAAATTAAAAATGTAAATTGTCTTACTTAAATTTTAGCCACTGACAAGTTAAAGCAAGATTACAATTAGCATAAGTAAACAATGTTGACATGACTTAAAACTGTTCCTGTTGCCTAAGCTTGAATCCCTAGTGGTTGTGTTGTTTGCATCTCAACATTCTAACATTGCATCATCCTATCACACATGAATTATGATCTTAATCAATTTACTAATAATCACTTTTTGGCATTCAGCATTAGTGTGACTGTTAAAAATTATAGAGGATCTATAAAACACAGAACGTGTTGCAAGATAGTATGGATGAGGAGATAACTATTATACCCAAAATAACGCAGCACAATGCAAGAACTATATAAATTGTCAAATTTACACATGATCTAAAATGTACATTTTTAATATTTCTCATCTGCTTTCCTGTTTTAACTTTCTGTACATGCAGTTCTCCTCCATTACCTTGGCTATGGTCTTTATAGTGTGGGTGAAACACCAGGCCCACTGTACTGTAGATTTTTTTTTTTAAAGCTGATGTTTGTAACATTGTCTGCCTGCCTTTACAAAGCCCAGTATAAGACGAAGTTAAAGAATTCCTAAGCTTTTCATAATGTGAATAACTTTCTGCTTGCGTAAGTGTTGTTTAGAATTACTCTTGGGAAAGAACAGACGTTGGTAAAGCTATAGAACTAATTGATCTTTCCACAGTTCTGTCAATACATGAGAAAGCTTCTGTCTATCCAGATATCTGCCAGAAAATAACAAAGGTTTTCATTGACATGCGGTTCATTTAATTTTTTGGATTCTATTTTTCAACTCTATATTCATTCATTGAGTTTATCGTCTTTGTCCCTAATTATGTTGTTTCAGGTCCTGAAGACTTCTCTTTTAAAATTGCAAAATTGAATAAACATCTCTGCTTAATTGGGAGATGGCCAGAAGTCATTATTTTGGACTTGCAAAAAGAAAAACTAAAGTAACAAATATCAAGGAAATAATACCGAAATGTAAATTTAAAATTTAAAAACCGAAATGTCTATCTTTTCTATCCAAGAATTAATCAAATAACTAAACAGCTTTTGTTAAATCAATTCTATATCATATCTCAATTTTAATGTGAAAATCTTAAAAATCTTTCACCAAGAACCTATTCAAAATACTTTCAGAAAGATTTTCTTCCTGAAACTCAGAAACTGGAATTAGAGATGCCTAACAATAAAACATCTATTTAATAGTCTATTTTGAATTGATAGACAAATAAGTAGAAAATGGATTTAGTTTCACTGAAGGGAAATGGTCTTAATAGCCATTATCTCTCCCTATCTGATGGTGAAATAATATGTTAATTGTTCAGCAATTGCTATCTTATATAAAAAAAATTGCCTTTTTAAATAAGTAGGCCAAATAAAATAGGTCAATTTATTTACAAAAGTATTTTCATCTACTTACTCATAATTCTTGGTCTTTGACATCTGAAATGGAAATATTCTCTCTATAATTACACAACTTTACATACATATATTTTTCTTGGTAAAACTTTTTTGGATGAGCTTCTTTGAATAGTACAGGCCATCCACTGAAATTGAAGAACTATAGTCATTTGCTCAATTTTATGTATTTATTCAATTGGAGCTATTATTCCTAAGCAAATCTTCATATGACATTGGAAACTGTGCCATGCTATATATATTTATACCTATAAAATTTTTGTGCACAGTAACAACTTTTGGCCACTTATTCCATGCAAGACCCCATTAGGACAAAAGTAATTCATGTTCTGTATCACAGTCCCTAATAAACTAAATTATAGAGATTAACATGTAGAGGCAAGGAATAATCTTAGAAAGTAAGCAATTAAAATATTGTGCTTTAACATATGGAGAAATTTATAAAATGTTATACTGAGGAGTAGATGCTATGTTTTTTTTTATAGAAATAAAATAATTATTTGAAACACAGTAAAACCACATGAATATAATCAGTCAAATTCTGAGTGTGGGAAATTCCACATGACAATTACCTATTTCTTTCTCTTGTAATTTTTCTTTTTAATTGAAGCAACATTGGTTCACAATGTTTATGATTTAGGGAAATAGGTTCACACCTCTCCAAATGCATGTTTCCACATCACATTTACTACCTAATCACCCATAGTCCTCCATCATAGGGCACCAGGCTCTCTACCCACTTTGTTCTCCACCCCTAATGATCCGCCACTATTAGCCTCAGTTATGCTGTCATATTTCCAGGGTTTTTTTTGTTGTTGTTGTTGTTCAGCTTAATTTCATCCGATCACTTGTTTTGTTTCTTTATATTCCACATATGAGTGCAATCATCTGTTATTTGTCTTTCTCCTTCTGACTTATTTCATTAAGAATATCCCCTTCAGGGCCTCCCTGGTGGCGCAAAGGGGTTAAGCACAGCACTATGAAGGCAAATCGCAGCCTCTGCAGCAAGAGTTCTATCCTGGGGTGGCCAGGAAGCAAGCCACATGGCTAGTACCTTTCCTGACTCTCCCGCTGCTCCCCTCAGCAGCGTATTTCAGTCAGTCTGCCTGTTCTGTTCTGAACTGTCTCTGGTGAATCCTCTCACAGCTCCCCTCCCCCCACTCCTCTGCACCTCTGGCCTCCTGTACCCCAGCTCTTGTATGTATAAATAAATAAATACTTAAAAAAAAAGAATATCCTCTTCAGTTGGCTATTGTAAATAATGCTACAATGAACATAGGAGGACATATATCCCTTCAAATTAAGGATTTTGCATTCTTTGGGTAAGTACCAAAAAGTAGATTTTCTGGATCGTATTGTATACCTATATTTTCCTCAATATTTTGAGGAACCTCTATGTTGTCTTTTACAGGAGCCAGACTGGTCAATATTTCTGCCAACAGTGTACGAGGATTCCATTTTTGAGAAGTAGAAACTTTCAAATGATTTACAGCTTTTCTATATAAAAACTGTGTAGTCTAATGTTTTCAGTTTGAAGTTTTCTTACAGTCTTCACAAAAATAAAAATGATTTTCCAGAGATTACATTTTTTGTAACCAAAATTGTGCTACACTTACTTAAACAAATCTATATTGGTACACTTACTTAAACAAATCTATATTGGGACATTTAATTTATTATAATAAATCACATGGTCTTAAAATACCATTAATTTCATATCATTATTTCTAAAACACAGCCATCCAAATATTATAAAATATACATTTTAATCAATGACAACTACATTTATGCTAGATAATAAGCAACTGCAAAAATCTTAGTGACTGACAAAAGCAAACACTAATCTTTTTTTTTTCTCATTCTTCAAACTCAACTGGGATCACTGAGGTTTAGGTAGACTCCAAATAACTTTGTTCCACCCTCTTCATCACTCTGAGACTAAAGTTTACTCAGAACCTATCATCCTTGTGAATTGCAGAAGCCCAAGAGCTCAAATTCAGAGCATTCAAAGCCACTAGTAGTTCAAGCTATGGTTGCTCACATTCCATTGGCTAAAGCATGTCCCATGGCCCAACTCAAATCAATGAAATAGGAAATATATACTCCATCTACCCTAGTGGCTTATCCCAGCCTATGCAATACAACATTTATTTGCCAAGTATTCAAGTATGTAATTCAATAATTGTGAAGGAATGAAGAATTGGGATAATAACATTCCATAGTATATAATAGATATTTATTACTTTAAATTTTATAAATATATTTGCACAGCTTGAGAAATAAACTCTTGATCAGTAAGGTAAAATGATCCACTTGTAGTAAAAATTTAAAGTTAAAAATTTAGGCAGAATTTGTCAGTTCATATAAGAATTTAGATTAAACACACATTTAACCTGTAATAGAATTATTAACATGATTACATTGAGATTTTATCTCCCAGAACCAAATGGATACAACACCTAGTATGATTTTTTTAAATAAATTATTTAATAATGACAATGTCTGAAAATGTACCATTCCCCTGTGATGATTGGCAATAACATTTTTGTCTAGCATAACTTTAGGTTAAGAAGCAGTCAGCAATAGAAATCTAACTTTTCTATATATGTTAAAGAAAAATATTTCTCTAATATAACTTTATCATGTTCTATTATAAAATTATGTTAAAGAGGCCTGTTTTTAATTACCAACAACCAATGTCACTTACATGTATAATATAGGTTATCTGACCCTATCACCTAATGCTGATTATACTATATAAAATTTGGTGATAAGGTATAAAAGTTGTATTATTTAAAAATAAAGTTTTGCTGCATATAAAAAATAAAATAAAGAAGCCTTTTTTGTTAGTGATTATAATGTCAATAAAACTCAAACACGCTGGAATACGAAGTTCGCAAATTATTATCATGTGGCACTTCTTCCCTAAATACCCCCTTTAAGGGCTGAATGACAACTTCAATAAACAATCCATTTGATTCTTGACCCAAGTCATGTAGTGCTGACCAAATTAGTGAGAAATGAAAAGACATACATAATCTTTTGGATTTGGTTTCGTTTTGCATTTTCAGAGAATGAATTTGTAAGGATTGAAAGTGCTGTTTAAGAATAACCCTAAGTCAAATTGAAGTGTAAGGGCTAAAAGAGAAAGCAGAGATCTTATATATTACCTTCCTACTTAAAAATCTTTAATAATTCTGAACTTATTCACAGAATGAAGAAATTTTTTAAACATATTTCTTTCAAATTTCATTCTCCATTATTCTTCTACCCTTATAGCCAGACTAGGTCGTTCCCAATTTCCAAAATTTAATTTAGCTAAAATACCTTTCTGAAATTTTTGGGGGGATCTTTGTCTTTTATTATACATAATTTTGCTGACTTCCCAAGAGTCATTTTATTAAGAACTTAGCTGCAAGGCCCAAATACAACTTTCCTAACA